GCTATACCCCAGAGATTCTTGTATGTTGTGTTTCCATTTTCACTTGTTCCTAGGAATCTTTATATTTCCTCCCTGATTTCTTCAATGACTGAATCATCCAAAAGTGAACTGTTCAATCTCCGTATGTTTGTATAGCTTCTGTAGTTTGTCTTGCTGTTGATTTCTAGTTTTATTCCATTATAATATGGTAAGGTACCAAAAATTATTTCAGAGTTTTTGCATTTGTTATGGCTTGCCTTATGACCTAAAATATGATTTGTTTTTGAGAACATGAGCTACCTAGGGAGAATATGTATTCTGTAATTGTTGGATGGAATAGTCTATAGATATCTGTTAAGTCCATTTTATCCATAGTATAGATTAACTTCATGTTTCTTTGTTGATTTTTTTTTTTTTTTTGGTCTGGATGACCTATTGGTGAGAGTGGAGTATCAGAGTCACTCACTATTGTACTGGGATCTATATATCCCTATATACTGAATAGTGTTTTGTTGTGAAATTGAGTGAGTCAATGTTAGGTGCATAATATATTTACAATTGCTGTATCTTTTTGGTGGGTTTTTCCCTTTACTGATAGGTAGTGGCCTTTGTCTCATCTAATTTTGTCTGCTTTGTCAGGTGTCAGTATTGCTACTCCTGTTGACTTTCAGGTTCCATTAGCATAGAATATTTTTCCTATCCTTTCACTTTCGGTCTGTGTATTTCTTTGCTAATAAGGTGTGTTTCTTTCAGGTAGCCAAGAGTTGAGTCTTGCTTTTTAATCCAGTCTGCCAGTCTATGGCTTTTAATTGGAGAATTAACACCATTTACATTCAGATTTATTATAAAAAGGTGTGCACTAATTCTTGTCATCTTGTTGTTTTTCTAGTGTTTGATTCTTCCCTGATTGTCATTGGTTTATCTATTCTGTCTTTCTGTGTATAGAACTCCTTTAAGTGTCTTCTGCAATGCTGTCTCAGTGGTCATGAGTTTCTTTAGTTTATGCTTATTTAATAAGGTCTTTACTTTTTGTTCAGATTTGAAGGTTAGATTTGCCGGATAGAGTCATATAGGTTGGCATTTATTTTCTTTTTTTCAGGGCTTAAAACACATTATTTCATTCACTCCTGGCCTTTGGGGTCTCTGTTGAGAAGTCTGAAGTTCTGATGAGTTTGTTTCTGTAAGTGACATAACATTTCTCTCTTTCAGCTTTAAATATTCTTTCCTGGTTTTGCCCTCTTTACATTTTAACTATAATGTGACATGGGGAGGTGTTTTCTGGTTGTGCCTGTTTGAGGTTCTAAATGCTTCCCGTACCTAGATGTGTCTATATCTTTCCCAAGACTCGGGAAGTTTTCTGTTCTAATTTCACTAATAGATTTTCTATGCCATTAATCTGGCATAGAATCTTGGCACCTTCTTCTATACCAGAAGTTCTAAGTTTGGTCTTTTAACCATATCCCTGAATTCTTGGATGTCTTGTTCATAATTTCTTGTTTCTTTTCCTTTATTAGTATCTGCTTGTAATAATTCCTTAAACATAACTTCAGGCCCTGAAAATCTGTCTTCTGCTTGATCCTGTCTATTGGTGAAGCTTTCCAACTGAGCTTTTGGTTTGACTTATTGCGTTTTTTATTTCTAAGGTTTCCATTTGGCTCTTCTTTGGCTCTTCTTCAGAATCAATCAGTCTCTCTCTCTGTCTCTCCCTCCCTCTCTCCCTCCCCCCTTCCCCTCCATTTCCTGCATTGTCTTTCTTAATTCATTCAGCCTTTTATTTGTATCTTCTTTGAAGTTATTCATCATTTTTTAAATCAGTGTTTCAAATTCTTTGACACTTCATCCACTTCGCCATCTTTGTGTTCATTCCCTAATGAGTTATGGACACTCACAGGAGTCATGATGCCTTATTTTTTTCGTACTTCTTGTTTTTCTAAACGGAGATTGGTGCATGTCCTGGAATGGATATCTCTTCCATTTTTACCTGAGGGTCTTGACTTCTTTTGAATTCCAGACTTCTTTTGAGGGCTTTTCCTTCACGGCCACTTGGAGAGAAGAAAACATACCACAGTAACTATGATAACACAAAGACAAACCAGATATTGACATACAGTAATAACCAATGGAAAGCTACAACTACCACCATTAATGATAGAAAAAAAGCAATAATAATATATAATAAACTGAAAAAGCTAAAAATAAGTTAAAGTAATAATAATAAAAAGTGGATGGGTGGGGAATGGGAGAAAAGAAAAGTAAAATTTGAAAAGGAATGTAAGGAGGAAAAAAAGTGTGATAAAAATTCAATTGAAGAATAAAAAGAGTTAATAGAATTAGCTAAAAGCAACACAAAACAATAACAAATAAACAAGAAAAAGAAAAAAACACCTAAAAAACCCCCCCAAAATGAGTGCAAAATGTTTCCTCCACACTGATGTGTTTGGTTGGGTAGAGTTCCTTTCAGAACCTATAGTAATGAAATCCACTAGATGTGGGGGAAGGATAGTGAGTCACCCCTGGGGCCTGTTGTGTTTCCAGACCCACTTAGGAGCAAATGCTGAGTCCTACCCCACCTTCCCGCTGGGCAGGGGTCATTCAGAATTGTCTGCCTCGGGGCTATTTTCACTCCAGAGGCTTTTAGGGCTTGTTTGGGTCCTTCTGTGCACCTGAGCCACGGCTGTACCCAACTGTGGGCTTGTGAAGTGCCACTCTCGCTCTAGAGGCCCTTGTATCCACATCCAGGGACACGGCAAACATCAGAGCAGAGGCACAGACCTGATCATGTTGACCGGTGCCAGAAACAAAGAGATCACTGAGTTCTGTGCTAGGAGGGGCCGTGAGGGGAGCCAGGCAGTGCACTGGGCTAAATCCTGGTGCTCTCGGACCCGGCCCCCTCAGAAGACCACACTCAAAAGGCTCAGCTCTCTCCACAGAGGACAGTGGTGCCAATCACTGTGTCCTCCACAGCCTGAGCATCAGGCTGCTTAAACTTCTCAGGAGGGCTGTGACTAACCATTCCCCTCTCCACAACAGTTTCTTGCGGCTGTCTTCCACCCAGTCACTGTGGTCAGGTGACCCCAGAGACTCTGAAGTATGGTGGTTCTATTACTTCTGCTTCCCTGAGTAGCTCAGTCTCAAACAACAGAACCCCTATTAAAATGGCTCCTGACTTTATTACGCTGGGATATGGTGGCACTATAAGAGATTTCTTTTCCAAAGCCAGCCTACCACACAGGAGGAGTCACATTCAGGGTAAAACCTCATACTCCATTTGCAAGTGGGGCTATTGCTGCCAGTCTGTCATTTATCACTGGGGCTCAGGTCCTTTCTGGGCTTACCTTGTGTTTGTGAAGTTGGGTTCCCTTTCCCCTGGGAGCCTGGATTAGCATTTTGGACTGCTTTGTTCTTTTTTCTACATTGTCTTCTGTTTCTCCATGATTTTTAACTTTCCTGTTGATTCTTTCTTGATTCCTAAAGCCCATCTTCTCTTATTCCTAAGTAGTTGTTTTCCAACTTGATCCCAGGTCCTGGAGAGGCTATAATTTGCTGCTGGCTTCTACTCCGCCATCTCGGTCTCTCTTGGGTAGACAAGGAAAAGTAGATTTCCTGGGTCACGTGACAACTCCCTTGACAACCCCCCTCCCCCGCTTTTTTTTGGTACCAGGGATTGAACTTGGAACCTTGCACTTGTGAGGCAGGCAGCAGCACCACTGAGCTAAATCGCCAACCCCTGTTTAACTTTTTGAGAAGCTACAGGACCATTTTCCAAAGCAGCTGCACCACTTTGCATGAGCAATGTGGGAAGCTTAAATTTTCCATATCCTTGCTAACACTTGCTATTTCCCCTTTAAAAAAGTTTATAGCTATGGCCAGGGATTTAGCTCAGTGGTTCTGGCACCTGCCTCAGATGCTCAAGGTTATGAGTTTGATCCCTAGTACCAAAAAAAAAAAAAAAAAGAAGTGCTCATATAAGAAGAGCTCTTTAAAAAAATGTAAAAAATTTTTTTAAAAGTTTATAGCTATCTTATGGGAGTGAAATAGTCTATCATTGTAGTTTTGATTTGCATTAGTTGAATAACTAATGATGTTGAGTATCTTTTTTTTTTTTTTTTTGGTAATGGGGATCAAATTCAGGACCTTGTGCTTGCGAGGCAGGCGGCAGAACTACTGAGCTAAATCCCCGGCCCCTGTGTTGAGTATCATTTTAAGTGCTTGATGCCTATATCTTCTTTGGAGAATTGTCAATTCAGCTCAGTTTTAAATTGGGCTATTTGACTTTTTATTGTTGAATTGAAATAGTCCTTTATAGAATCTGGACACCAGACCCTTATCAGAAGTATGATTTGTAAGTATTTTCCTGCATTTTGTAGGTTGTCCTTTGATGGTACCCACTGAAGCACAAAAGTTCTGGAATTTTGATGAAGTTCAATTTATAGTCCTGTTTTCTCTTTTGTTGCTTACATCTAGGGTATTAATCCAGAAAACCTATCACTTCTCCAAGGTCACAAAGATTTACTCCTATATTTTCTTTGAAGGGTTTTATAGTTTTGATGTTGACATTTATGTGTCTGATTCATTTTGCTTTCATTTTTGTATGTTGTATGATGTAAAGGTCAAACTTCATTCATTTGTTGAAAATCCTGTCCTTTTCCACACTGAATGGTTTTGGGACCCTTGCTGAAACTCAACCAACCTTATATATGTGAGAGTTTATTTCTGGATCCTTAATCCTGTTGCTTGTGCTCTCTACCTCTATCTCTTACCTCTCTCCCTTCCCCTCTCTCTGACCAACCTGTGTCTTGTTGTTGTTCCTTGCCTCATCCTTTCCAGGTGCTGTCTCTAACCCTCTGCTCTATTCATTTTTCTGATCAACACACCAAAGGCCAGGCCTATTTGAACAGCACAGGTTCCTTCTCAGAAGTGATAGAGGAATGGAGGCAAGGATCACTTCAGAATTAATTTTTCATCCCAATCCTGTTATAAAAATTACATCTTATCATCATGAACCTTCTCCTATGTTACAGAATGTAGGACCGTCTCAATGGGACAAGGACAGGAAGTGCATGCTCGAAAGCTGATTCAGATGTCAATGAAGCAGGTATGTAGCAAGGAGCTACTGTGCCTATTGCAACCTTATTACTATTCCTTTCCCATCCCTCTGACTGACCTAGGAACACTACAGTGGTGGGAAACATCCTGCCTCTGATGCTCAATCCCTGTTTTCCACTTTGTGATTTTAATCCTCAAGTTAGCTTCCTCCTGACACCTCATGGTAAGCTTTCCATTTTCTATGATATATACTTCATTTTGTTTTCATTTATTTATTTATGATTTGGAAAGCACATCTTCTGGTTCCTGAGGGTGCAGTCAATAGTCTTGGAATTTCAGTATTAGCAGGTAGTACTTAAGAAGTGACAGTCTGGGACAGTTAGATTTCAATTTTTAGTTAAAGGCAGGCTTTCATTTTTTATTAAGGGATCGTTTCAGGCAAATAAGAAAAATTTACAGACTTTATATTTAAACATTAAAAATTGTTTTCATTGAAAGTTGCAACCTATATGGAATATTGAGAAATAGTTCTCATTACACCTAATAAATACACAAGACATTAATTTTCTAGAAATATTCTGTAGACAGCCACCTCAACTGTAATAAGAAATGGCATCATTTATAAAATAAAATAAGATCTTGGTTTATTTTTAAGCTTTTGATCTCATCATGGCCATAATAACTTTGGCACAGATTTTTCCCTGGGAATTAATAATTAGAGAGGGTTAATGGGCTAAAACTCTACTTGAGTCATCAAAATTTCAAACTAGTCATTAATTCTCAAGTGTGCTAAGAGTTAATCTTTACCACTTAATTAAATTCAATGATAAATTATATTTAATTTATATATAAGCAATTATATATAATTATTTCTACTCAGATCAAATGTTTCACTCTATTGAATGATTTGACAGTTTAACATTGGGATCAGGTCATTTCTTTAGTTTCAATGAGTGAGAAACTTTTTCATTTAAATATTTCATTCACACTAACATTCTTTGGAATACTAGTTTTTGTAACTTCCAAATTCTGTTTTCCACAGTAGGGTAAGTATTGATAATGTTATTACTAGGGGGAAAAAAATGAACAAATGCAGCCAGAATGTCACCTTGAGAGATGCCAGATTTAGGATATTATGGAATGTGACATTGTAGAATATGACATTATGGAATGTGGAGTGAGGGACTGGAAGTGACCAGGTCCAGGATGATACAAACTAATCCTGAATTCCATAAAGGTAGTTTTATCACATACATATTTAGTATAGTAGTGTTCTATAAGTTTTGTGGTTTCAGGACTGTGTGGAAAGAGTAATAACAAAGAATAAGGTTTAGCATTTTGGTAGTGAATGTCACCAAATATACAGTCTCCAACTCTCATGAGAGGATGTGTATCTTTCTTTGTAACTGTGGGTGACCATGATCCAGTTTTCTTGGTTTTGAGGTAGTCCTGATTTACTGTAGGCAGTTTAAATTACCATTCCTACCATTAGATGGTGCACACAGTGTACTTATACAAGGCTATCTGTAAGTTTTAATTTCTGTTCTCTTCTGAATGGGGATAGCAGAATATAGGCATTTTGAACCCACCTGATTCTAAATAATTGGGTTGTACCAGTAACAGATGATTGTATTGACATATGGTTTAAAATATGTATATTCCTCACACTAGTATAATCAGATGCTGTAAGCATTTTTTTCATTCTGTGCATTTTGTTTTACTAAAATGATCACAAAACAATTTCAAGAAATAAATATGAAATAAATAAACCCATTTTTTGTATGCAGGGTGGTTGGGTATTACTGCAAAACTGTCACCTTGGCCTGGAATTCATGGAGGAATTACTGGAGACACTAATGACCACCGAAGCCAATGATGATTCATTCCGAGTATGGATAACTACAGAGCCCCATGATCGATTTCCAATTACATTGCTTCAGGTTTGTTGCTATGAGATATGAGGCTTTGCATTGACACTTACACCAGTAATGATAGCATAATCAACACTATCGAAAGATGGAAACACAGCAGGGCTCTTTGGCCCAGTAGAGTCTGCACTGCAAAATCTTAACAATCATCAAAATCTTGACCATAATTGCCCAGGTTATATAATAAATATTTCTGCGAGAGAGCTAAGAGGGTAGTAATTTATTCAGTTTCAGCTCCGATGAGTGTAATTAGTTTCTGCAGTGCTGAATTTCACACCACGTTTTATGTGCCACAAGCATCTTGTTGTCTGATGTATCGTAATGTCTATTTTAGCCTTTACAGTAATTGATAGCAACAAAACAACTGTTTTCTTTTGATGGCAGACTTCTCTCAAATTCACTAATGAGCCGCCCCAAGGTGTACGCGCAGGTCTGAAAAGAACATTTGCTGGAATTAATCAGGACCTCCTGGATGTCAATAATTTACCCATGTGGAAGCCAATGCTCTACACGGTGGCGTTTTTACACTCCACTGTACAGGTAATCCAGAGAGCAGTTAGCACACAGGAGGTGCTAATGAGGGGCTGCGGCTTCAGTGGGGGAGCAGTAGGAAGTGGGGGAGCACTTCAGTGGGGGAGCAGTGGGAGCACATGCTGCCACTTCTAGCTGCTTTCTTCGCCATTGTTGCCCTTTACCTCCTCTGACTTCCTAGGTCTTAGTAATGGATTTCATGGGGCTCCCGCCCGACCATGACATGGCAAGGTTCCCGAGGACAGATACGGTCTCTCCTGCTGTCCCAGCAGCACCCGGGCACAGTCAAGAGCTCAGTAAATATCTATGCATTGATCAGATTATAAAAAGAGGGGCTTGGTCTTGAAAGGGCCCCTGCTGGTCACGAATTCTGTGTGTATCATTTCATGTGACAGCAATAACCACATATCAAGGTTGGGTGGTCACCACCTTCAAAACAAGGAAACTGAGCCTGAGACCAGCTAAGAACATGTTATATGTGGTAGGCTGGGGCAGCCTGGGCCTGGTTGACATTATTCCCAGCAGTCAGAGGGATAGTGGTGCTGGGCAGCAGTTCCCTGCCTGTTTGCTGTTTGCTTTTACAGACTAATTGCTTAATCGCAATTTAATAATTTTGATTATCAAGCAACTTGGCTGTAGGGTTTGTTATTTTGTTCTGTATTTTAAGGTTTTTTTGGGGGGTTGTTTGTTTTTGTTTTGGGGCTTTCACACTGAACTATATCCCTAGCCCTTTACATTTTTTATTTCGACAGAGTCTTGACAAGTTCCTGCTTGCTCAGGCTGGGCTTGAACTTGGGAATCCTCCTGCCTCAGCCTCCCAGAGTGCTGGGATTACAGGCACACATCAACACACCTGGCTGTTCTGTATTTTAACCTTTATATGTTCTTCTGTTCTGGAAAGCTGTATGATTTTAATGCACTCAGTTCACTCCTCGGTTTCACAGAGGGATGGAGAGGCTCCATTTTTCCTTCCCTGAGGCCAAGTGAAGGACAAAATGAGTTACTGCCACATCCCAAGAGCCATGCTTTCCACTGTGCTCATGGGTGTGTGAAATTCCCTTGTATTTCCCAAGGATGGGGGGAAATTCAAAGTTCACTCCAGAAGGGCCAGGGATGTAGCTCAGCAGCACAGCTCCTCCTGGCAAGCGCAAGGCCCTGAGTTCGAGTCCCAGTACCACCCCCACCACCAGATGTCCACACCAGAAACGGCTAGACATGTTTACCCCCAACTCATTATTCCTACCACTTTATGAGGTCCCACACTCCCACCAGAAAGGGCCATGGTGTTTTTCTGTCTCCTAGCCCTGGGAGAATTAAGGTCAGGTTGCAGGCTTTGTTGGTGATTATTTTTACTAAGTTCCTTTGTGGCCTTTGGATCATACATTACAGCTTTCCAGTCCCTGAAACCTATCATACACCCTTATCTGAGGATTGTTCGCTTTGCTAGGCCTTATCACACTCTAATACAAATATTGCTTTGCCTCTGATATTTAATTCCTCATTCACAAATCTCTGTTTTATGATTCTGTTCTTAACAGTGATGATTCAACTCTTCCACCCTGCTTATCATGGACAGACGCTTGGAAGGTATTTTCCATATGGTCAGTGCAGTGACCTGTGTTTTTAGTGACCGTTATCCAACACTAAACACAAGAAAAGCGGCAGGACTGTAGTCCAGTCATGGGGCTAAGGTGAAAAAATATCTCCATGCTAGATTGGGGAGCTAATAGTAGAGTGTCTACTTTTTTTTTTTTAATCTCTTAAAAGCAAATCCTAGTGTGTTAGAGCACTTCACTGGATTCAGGAGGTCTGGACTTTAGGACTTGCTGTGGAGTCAGTTGGCAGTGTGGCTGGTCAGTTATGTCCCTCTTCGGACTTCTGTTTCCCCATCTTTGCAGTTAAGAGACAGAAATAGGGAAGTTGTTATCAGTTCGATCTAGAATATTCCCCCAAAGCCTCATGTATTCCGAGGTGGGGCTTTTGGAAGGTGATTGGATCCTGGGGATGCTGTAGCTAACTTGCTCTTAGGAGGCGATGGGGTCTGGTTGGAAGAGGTGCATCACTGAGGGTGTGGCCTAGGAGGGTCTATCGCCCTCCCTGGCTCCTCCTCCTTTCCCTCTCTGCTTCCCGGCCACTATGATGTGAGCAACTTTACGTAGTTATGTACATTTCCTTTATCTCTTTAGTGTTGGCTATAAGAACCACATACCTGATTCAATCAACAGGGTCCTCCAGATTGACACACTGCCAATGTGACAAATATGCCTGTGATAATGAGCTTATAAAGAAAAAAGGTTTATTTGGGCTCACAGTTTTGGAGGTTTCCATCCGTGATCAATTGGCCCCATTGCTTTCGACTGTGGGGAGGTGTGACAAAACTTTACCTTGTGGCTGGGACACAAAAGAGAGGAAGAGGAAGGGGCTCTGGTTCCTTTTAAGGGCACATCCCCAGAGACCAGAAGACTGCCCACCAGGCCCCAGCTCTTAATGGTTCTGCCACTTCCTAATAGTGCCATGGCCTGGGGACCATGGGCTTTGGAGGATTCTCATCCAAACCACAGCACACAAGTATATTTTGCTTTATACAAATGGGCTGCGTGTACTTTTGTCCTCACAGAGACTGAAAAAAGAACAAGGAATCTACTCATATCACATAATCTGAAGCTGTGGACCTGGGCGGGGTTCACACTGAAGCCCATCCCACAGCCACACGCAGGGCCCAGGGGGAAATAGCCAGCCCCCCGCTGGTTCCCCAGTGTTATCTGTCTCCTGAACTGTGGTTTGGCATTAGGCCATCACCTTGCCCTACCCAACGTCACACTGTGCTGCACGGGCCCCTACTCTCTGTGTTGCAGAGAGCCAAAGTTGTTCCCTTCCTCGGGGAAGGGCAAATAGTTTGAGCTGGTCAGGGATGACTTGGGCAAGTAGAAGAGTGGTAGGGAGTGTGGTTTGTTAGGCTGCCGAGGCAGGAGCAGGAAGGGCAACTCCTCCCTAAGCTCTGCACACTCGCCACACACCCCTTCCCTCCTCGCCTTCCCCTTCTGGAGCTTCCTGTCCATCCACACTGAGCACAGCAGCTGCCCTAGATGGGAGGTTCCTGCAGCAGCTGCCACCCTTACTGCCACTCAGGGACGCCTCTGCCCTTGCCAGCCACCCTTCTGCTGACCTTGTGAGAGCCTTCATTCCCAGAAGCCTGGACTCACACTGGCCTTCACTGCCTGGGAACATTTCAACAGGGGACCTTCCCTCTGGCCTCACTCACCCTTTAGGAGTTTAATATTTGACACACTTGCCTCCAAAGTCTTGGTCTTCTGAAACTCAGTATTACATTCTTACTCTCCTCCCAACACCTCCTGCAGAAAGAGGAATGATGTCCTCTGACTTTTCCTATTGGTGGCCAGTGTTTAGCTTTTGAGAAGTGCATTGGGTGGAGCAACCAAATTCAGCAGTGCTTCACACCCAGCACCTGGCATCCACACCAAACCACTCAAGTCAGGATCCTGGGAAGAGGGGAGGTGGAGCTCAAATTTTTTTTCCTTAAATTCTTTTATTGGTGCATTTTAGGTATACAGTACGTTTACATTTATCATTGGGTGCTTGTACCTGTACATGATGTATCTTGGTTCTGATTTTTTCCCCATTACCTGTGCGCCCTTCCCTATTTACAAAGACTTCATTTCCATTTTTTCTTTTCTCATAATTTTTCCTTTCCCTTCTTTCCTTTCCCCTTCCCCTCCCACTTCCCCTACCCTTT